CTGAAAGGGCGAGCATGTTTGGTATGACTGGGATTCGAGCCCGCGACCCTCGTATTGTGAGTGGAGCGCCCTAACCACCTGGCCATGTCGGGCCTCTGTGAGAAATACTGCTAGTATATCTGTTGTGGAAGGTTTAGATTCTCCCGAGTAAGTTTTTCACATATTAAAATAGAAACCCAGTTCATAACATTGCAGTGGCTTCATGAAGAATGTCCAATGTGAAAAGTGTTATGTAAGATTCAAGATTCCATCGGGTAAGTTTTTTTCTCAAATACAAAGAGGAGTTATTTAGTCAAAAACTCGTTCCTAGAGACCTTGGACCCTTTAGTATATGAGAGCTTTCTGAAGAGAATTATTCTCACATGTTTCCTATGACAATTCTGATATTTATATGTTGTTGTTTTTTTTAACACTGCCCATCACAAAAAGTGGAAATTCTCCAAAGTTTAAAGGTTAAAACGTTTTTCGTATATTCAATAGATAATCTTTAACTTTAACAGCAAAAAATTCTTTTTTTCTTCAAATAGTTTTCTTAGGTAAACTTAGAGCCAGCAATGAGGATTATGGTGTAACCTGGAAGGTTTATTTTTAACTAGTTTCCTAAGATAAACTTAGAGTTAGCAATGAGGATTATGGTGTAACTAGAAGGTTTACTTTTAACTAGTTTCCTTAGGTAAACTTAGAGTTAGCAATGAGGATTATGGTGTAACTGAAAGGTTTTTAAATTATTTCCTTAGATAAACTTAGAGTTAGCAATGAGGATTATGGTGTAACTGAAAGGTTTTTAAATTAATTTCCTTAGATAAACTTAGAGTTAGCAATGAGGATTATGGTGTAACTGAAAGGTTTTAAATTAATTTCCTTAGATAAACTTAGAGTTAGCAATGAGGATTATGGTCTGATTAGAAGGCTTTTAATAAAACTTGTTTCCCAAGAAAAACTTAGAGTTAGCAATGAGGATTATGATGTAACTGTCAGTTTTGTTTTTTTTTCTATTTTTCCCAATGTTTAATTCTGGAGATTTCCGTGAGGATTTCTTGGAAGAATATCTAACTTAACAATAAACTGTTTACTTGTTCTGGTGTTCTGAGATATTTTTCTGTATTGAACAAAATTATTTTCCTAATACTTATTGCCAATCATGTGAGTATTTAAAGAAGGAGAATCAGCATTCATTAAATATTATTGGACCCTTGTAATTTAATTTCATTCGAGTTTTTATCGGAATCCTTCGATTTTTCTGAAGAAATCTTTACACAGTTTATTACACAGGAATTAGTGTGCTGCTTTTGATTACTTCTGATGGAATATTTAATTTTCGTTATTTTTTGTTTGTTGTTAAGCGCAAAGACACAAGACGGAATATCTGTAGTGTTCCCAACGTAGGTATCGAAACCCGATTTGTAGCGTTATAAGCCTTCAAACTTACCGTTGATCTACTGGGAGCAGATTCTATAAAATAATTTACTTTAATGTGACACTTTAAAACTGGATAACCTACTCATTAATTACTTTTATTTTTTGTCTTGCGATTCCGAAAATGTATTTTTGATGAGAAATGTGACATGGAAAAATGTAATTTTTGATGAGAAATGTAACATGGAAAAATTTAATTTTTGAGAGAAATGTAACATGGAAAAATGTAATTTTTGATGAGAAATGTAACATGGAAAAATTTAATTTTTGAGAGAAATGTAACATGAAAAAATGTAATTTTTGATGAGAAATGTAAAATGAAAAAAAAATCATTTTTGATGAGAAATGTAACATGGAAAAAATGTAATTTTTGATGAGAAATGTAACATTAAAAAATGTAATTTTTGATGAGAAATGTAACATGGAAAAAATGTAATTTTTGATGAGAAATGTAACATGGAAAAATGTAATTTTTGATGAGAAATGTAACATGGAAAAATGTAATTTTTGATTTACTATAGTACTCTTAGAGTATGAATGATTTTTTTCTTCAGTTATTCACTAAACATTACCCGATAGATCAACTTTTCGAAAGTTCAATATATGTTTATTTGTTCGGCTGTACATTTCAGGGCTGAATTGTGGGGTTCGATTCCAACGGTGGGCACAGCGCAGCTAGCCCATTGTGTAGCTTTGTGCTAATAAAGACAGCATTTACTCATGTACTTCTGAAGTTATTATTCTGAACGTCTACTTTTAAAGCGGGAGATAGATAATTGATGCTATTTGGAATGGAAATAATTTTGAGATATTGTAACGATGGCATGTTTCTGTAGCGCTGTTAGAGTCTACGTAAATTCTTTATTTAGACTATTTCGATGGCGTCCATTCTTAAGCTTCTATCCTAGTAATATTATTTGTTTTGTTTCAGTACGGTAATGGAAACAACGGTTGATGGATAACAGAATTAATGGTTGTCGACTCACCAACCATAAAAACTGTTTTATAGACTAAGAAAAAATTACACAATATCCAAATATTCGTACACCTTGGCGTCTAGAATAGAGTGGACGTACTATTAACCTTCTAAAGGCGTTCCTAAAAGTTTGATTTAAGGTGTTATGGTCGTCGTTCAACGTGTACGTGGTCTTGTGTAGAGATCTTTAGACAGTAAAAAGAATTTTATGTGGAGACCAGGATATCAATCAATTATTTGTAGCTCGCATGTACGACAAGAAGACAAGTAATACCTTGATTTTGTTATTCCTTAACGTGGTTTCTTCTTTCTTGTATTATTTGAGCCAGGTTTATTAATTATATATAAAAAAAAACATTTACTAATATTGATGCTTACACAATTCATGTTTTACTCAAGAAGAACTGTTGAAACTCAAAATAAAATGAAAGTTAGTTGTCTACTTGGAACATCAATAGTTTAATAATAAAAAGACTTAAAGCAGTTTTTAGTTTATTTTAATGCTATTTACAATGAATAGTTTTCAATTCTAGGCTTAAAACTAACATATTTTTAGTCTAAGAAAACATAATGCCTCATAGCCAACGAAATAATTAGTGCATAATGTATTGTACCGCGTGTACATAGTCGTGATTTTTCTGGTTTTCTGACAATACGGGTCTGGCATGGCCTGGTGGTTAAGGCGCTCGACTTGCAATTGAGGATCTCGGGTTCGAATCCCCGTCACCAAACATGCTCGCCTTTTCAGCCGTGGGGGGTGTTATGATGTGACGGCCAATCCCACTGTTCATTGGTAAAAGAGTAACCCAAGAGTTATCGGTGGGTGGTGTTGACTAGCTGCCTTCCATCTAGTCTATCGTTGCGAATGAGGGACCATTACCGCAAATAGGCCTAGTGTAGTTTTGCGCATAACGCAAAACAAACCAAACCAATCTAACGATTTGATAGTGTCTAATCTCGAGTGAAGACAGAACATGATTTTATGAACTACAGAAGTTTAAGAACAGGTAATTATATTTAATAAATGATATGGAAACCTAGGCAATTTGCTCCATATATTATAAATTATGAAACAATGTAAATTCACACAATCTGTTATATATACTTCATTTTAGAATTAATAAGAAACTAGCTAGATAATCTGCTTTTATATCACATATTCTTAAACAGTGAAGAACATATTAGACAGTTATTTCTTTTTTAATTGTGACAGATTATAAACAATAAAGAACAAACTAACTAATTGTGTTTATATATATATATATATATATATATTACAGCTGTCTATGCATATATACCGTATTTCCTATACAATTGGTTAGTGTGTAAAATTTCCAGAAAATTCTGTACACATTATCTGTATCCTTAATAACAAATGTTGGACAGGGAAGCCACAAATTCCTCTTACCTTAGTTATTCATGGAACTAGGTCATTCTACTATGCATCAGTCACTGGGTAGCACCTGCATTTTCAGAAGAATGGCATCGTTGTTATTAGTGCATAATGCTTTGTTTTCTCTGTTTGGGACAAGATGATTTGAGACTCTGTAGGACTGCCAAACAAAATAGTCTAGCCCCAGCTCTGTTCAGTACCACCCATGATCAGGCAAATAGACTGAACAAGATCCTTTAGAATATATAAAAGTGGACAAAGGCTGGAGAAGGTAGTGATCCATTGGAGGAGTTTAGCCTTCCTGTGTAAAAAGTTATACTACCAAGGCAACTGTGGTTCGCAGCATCTATGGACGAGTTACTTACAGTTACTCATTGTTTTGTAACCTAAGAGCATCATATGACATTCCTATGAGTGTAAAGGACGTCTTAGCCTAGTATTGGTCAAGAGTTCGTGGGTGATAGATTTATGCCAATCCACACACAACTGAGATAAACTAAACAGATAATACTCGGTATATTTAAGAGTGATCGAAAAGAGGATCTGGATCACTTCCTGAATATGGAACAAGTTATACAACACCTGACCATGAGTTTGGATGGTTCAGCCCTTCCACACTTAAGCAAGGCACATATATGGAACTGGAATACAGTAGGAGCAAAGTTGCATCAATGTTTCAAACCAGCATAGAACCAAACTGTCAATCAGGCCGATTTCAAGGCTTGAAAAAGGGATCCTACAGAGAATTTGGCTGCTTTTATGGGTGATCTGCACCATTGCATTTGAAGGCATAATTAGCTGATCATGAGTATATCCTCATTGATAAATTTATCAAGAGTTTCCACAGCAAAATGATTATACTTCCCCTAGATGTTACATTTGCTTTGGGTGGGGGAAGAAGGGTTCTTTAAAGTGAACTACCCATACCTTGCCATGTAACAAGAGGTAAGGTTACCCGTTTTTACTGACTACACAGCAATTACAGGAGGGCTGGAAATGAACTGTAGCTACTGCTTCTTCCACTCTGGAAAACTAATAGATCCAGAATCAAGTCTTTACACTGATGCGGGGGAATGTAGCAGATAGCTTACACTGAAAGGTTTGGTGCTCAGCCAAGCTCCGTCACAACTAGGTGGGGATTGATATGTGCCTGTGAAAATACAAGGGTGAGAGAAAGAGTTGCTGATTGATACAGAAATTTCCAGGATCTTTGTTTATTTTGCCATGTATGAGACACTCCAAGTGAAGTCGCCACTCTAGCCAGTTAACGCATTTCATTGTAGCAAATATTGATAGACTATACATGGCTAGAAAGGCATATGTTTAAGTAAAGACAGACAAAGAAAAAAGATAGTCATTTTCAACCAGAGTCTGGCACTAGCATCCTAGGGATAGATGTAATGTGGAAATTACTGGTTAGTTTTACCCATGCAACTTGTGTACTATGTTTTTATGGAACATCGATTCAATACAAGCTACACTGGATCCAGGAACAGTAAACGGCGTGAGTGTATGTTACAGAGGGAGTCATAGTACCTCTGTTTAGTCAAGTGGTGTTCCTTTGTTTACGACAGAGGAGTTCTAGTGTGTTGGTGCTATGTAATGTGGTGATAGAGTCAGTGCATGAAATGTTCTGTTTTTTGTATAAAAAAACATGCAGCATTACCTCATACGGTGATCTGTCTGAAAAGTGATGAAGTCCTGGTGGTGTTCTGCATTTATGGGCAGTCAGCTATCCAGCACAACAAAGCTAGCTAGGTATTACTAGCATGATTTGCGTCATGCCATGTCCAAAAGCAGGTACTCAACTGGCAACACATCTAAGGTCACTTGTTGAAGGCTGTACAAATGATCTTGATTCAACAGAGTAACAGGAGCTCAGTGACCTATATGTTAAATGTGCCAATGTGTTTTTGGAAACAAGTAGCTAAGTAGGCCAAATAAAAATAGCTAACTATTACATAGACACTGGCAATGCATATATGATTAAAGAACAACTTTGTAGGCTTCCTTGGAGTACTAGGGATGTAAACAGAACTGAAGTTTTGTGACAAGGTTTTTCAAAATTTCCATACTAATATCAGCTCTCAAAAAGGATGATGCATATTCTAAATGGACTTAAAAGTGTGACCACACATTCCTGTTAATATAGCTTCTTTTAATGAAAACTCCAGTGTCAGTATATTAACAACAGTGGAATAGGGGCAGTATTATCACAGTTGCATGATGAAGTGGTATATGTGATACCATATTTTCATGATATGCAGTTGTGCTCTTTATTAACTACCAATTTTAGTTTCACTGGAATTGTCTGTATTTATTTTTTTGTAATGTCAACTACAGTTAAGTGATTTGATCAACTAGCAATGGTGATACACTGTCTTTCTAGTTCAGCTACTGATTGTGGTGGCCATCTAAGATAATAAATGTATTTTACTGCAGAATATTTTATTTCATCTAGTTTGTCTGTGTTTGAATTGATATCTATGGTAGTGACAACATGAATATTAATCCTGGGTGAAATAATTTCAGACAAAAAGTCTTTGTTCATCTGCAATCTGCCAGTAATTATCAATTTTGTGATGCCAATATAATGTTTTGAGTTTAATTACTCATAGACAGCTATCGAGACACAGCTAGTGGAAGAGCCTGTGTCTGTTCCCATGGTAATGGTGCATGAGAAAAACAGGGGCAGTCCATCCAAAGCTGGAAGAACCTAGAAACCTGAAATTTTGCACCCATACTAAGTTGACCCTGAGGGTCTGCGCCTGGGTATATTATCTATCTTATCTACATACGTGCGAGCATGCACATCTTTTTAATGAGGCAAGCTAGCAAAAACCAAATAGAAAGAAATAGTTTCTTATATTAGAAATATAAATCACAGACAGACACGAGGAAAGAACCAAGAAACCTGAAATTTTGTGCCCCCATACGAAGTGAACCCTGAGGGTTTGCACCTGAGTATTATTACTTATCAAAGTGCGTGCGCGAATGCGCTTGTGCATCTTTTTATGCGAAAAACACATAGAAAGGAAGTGTTTCCTTATCAAACAACTTCTAATATATTGAAAAGCCAGTGCGTTTTGGAAACAGTGCCTTCCAACAATGGCTATTATATCATGTTGCTCAGCAATAAAAGTATAACCTAATATTGTTGTTAAGAGACTATGTGCTGAAAGTATAAAATGGAATGTATAAACTACAAGATTGAAAGAAAAATGTTTGTTGTTTTCTAAATTAAATGCTCCGTTAATTAAAGTGGTTTGTTTTTATCATTTATGTTTAAAATCGAAGGAGAAATCAGAGGGAAGGCTACATATATAAACAGGATACATCTCATAAAAGAGCAACAAAAGTATATAGGTTATACTTTTATGATAAAATGGGTTAAAAATACACACACACTGACATAGTCATATAGAATAAATCAACCTAATAACCCGAGCGAAGCCGGGTACTTTCGCTACTTATAAATAAATTAAGAAAACGGTAGACCATATGCTTTGCATATTACACATTGTTAAACAATGGAAAATATGCTAAATAACCTGCTTTGTATACTGCAAATTATGAAAAATATATCATATATTACGGATTAAGAAGTGATACTTCCTGATGTTAACATTATAATAGACTTTGAAGTTAACATAAGTCGTAAAGATGAATTTCCAATAATTTCTAAACAAATTCATTTCAATACTTTAGTTTTCTGCGCATTAACTAAGTTGTTTTTTCTAACTTTATTTTCCTATAAACGTTTCCTGTAAGTGTTTTACTTTTGTTTTGAGATTTAGCTATCATTGATACTTAGTAACGAGGCATCGAAATGTTGCTATTTCTTTATTTTAATAATTGATTCGTTTTGTAATTATTCAAAATTAACTACAATTCTTTACATTACAGAACACAAAACTTTTGCAATGATCATTAGTTTTGTGTCTAATAACTATTGCTTTTTTTGTCATTCCTCCAACATAAAGTACAATATGGTAGATGTGTGATAAGTTTCAGGCCTTATGTAAACGATATAATAAATTTTTAGCTTAGTATATGGATTTAGAATTACCTTTCTGAACTAACCGAACCTTATAGGAGATTATTGGGATTATACAAAAGATATTATTAACAGCTGACCTAACACCTAACTGATGATTCAATGTATTCAATTCGTTCGAGGTTTCAATTATTGGTGTATTGAATTATGACATTAAGTACTTCTACTCAGTATTTTTATACACGATTAGCTTAACTAATCTGTATGTTAAGTTTGTTATGTTCTATATTTTCAAGTATATAATCTATAATTTAAGGTTGCCTGGCTGAGAGTCGAAAGTAAGACTATCTTAACTATCCACAATCATGTGATAACTAGGAACTACAGGATTGACTTAAGCCATAATGACAATCGAAATTGGATCCTCCACATCAAGAATGTCCAGGAGTCTGATAGGGGAGGCTACATGTGTCAGATAAATACAGTTCCCATGAAAAGCCAAGTCGGGTATCTAGACGTTGTTGGTAAGTTACTGACAAACATCAGTCAGTAATGTTTCTTTATATGATGTGTCCACCACGGGGAATCGAACCTCATATTTTAGCGAAGGACTAGTCAGTAAAGATTTAATGAAGCTTTATACATTTTAAAACACTATGAATTTCCAAATCGAATACTTAGTGACTACACTGTTAGAAATTTTTCTAACTTACCAAAATTTCTAACAGTGTAGTCACTAATACTGGTCTCTAACTTACCTTAATACTGGTCTGATTAAACTGTTAGAAAGTTTGGTAAGTTAGAGACCAGTATTAGTGACTACACTGTTAGAAATTTTGGTAAGTTAGAGACCAGTATTAGTGACTAAACTGTTAGAAATTTTGGTACGTTAGAGACCAGTATTAATGATTAAACTGTTAGTAAAGCTTTCTACTTTTTTGTAGCACTGTGAAATGTAAATTCGGATGGTTAAGCAAAGTCTATACTAAGTGAATCAAGTGGTAAATATGTGAATAAGTAGAGTAATGTAGATATGTGGTAAAGGTACTTTGTGATAAAGCATCACATGGTAGGCTATTAAATAAGTAGAGTAATGTAGTTATGTGGTAAAGGTACTTTGTGATAAAACGTTATTTAGAAAGTACTGGAACACTTACATGTATGATAAATCATTATTTGGATTCATTGTGATAAAGTACTTTGTGATAAAGCATCACATGGTAGGCTATTAAAAAAGCACAGTGTACGGTAGTTATGTGATAAAACGTTATTTAGAAAGTACTGGAACACTTAGATGTATGATAAATCATTATTTGGATTCATTGTGATAAAGTACTTTGTGATAAAGCATCACGTGGTAGGTTAGTGTAGTAATTATGTAATAAATTAAAGTATGATAATTATCTGATAAAACGTTATTTGGTAAAGATTGGATAAAGTTTCATGTATTATGTAAGTGATAAATCACCATTTGGTTGCTAGATGATAAAAGTATTGAGATAAAAAATCGCCTGTAACTTACTTTATAATAAGCGTTATTTCATATAAATATGGTACAATGCCAGTGGTAAATATGTATTCAAGTTAATTTCATGTGTTATTGGAGAAATATGTTTGCTTGTAGTATTTATGGTCAGTATGGAATAACAATTATTATTTTGCTCCACATGACCATCGAAATCTCATTAAAGTTTTCTACAATTTGAATAATTCTCAGTGCAACCTTTTACTGGTCCGCCATTTCCCTTACTGGGCCTAGAATGAAATGCCAAAAAACATCTTCGTTTACAAACAGTACTGATGAGTCATGAGTTCAATGAAACTAGTCTACTGTAAAGGGAGTAGTGAAACAAAGAATATAATTAAGCCTTATGTCGTTCATGGTTTCTTTCTTTTATACACCGAACTTACACATTTTGTAAGGAAAATAAAATTTCACAATTATTGTGATCCAAATCAACCACCGCATTTTCAAAATAATTATACATTAATTAGAATGTTTAGATTGTTTGTTTGTGGTAAAGCGTAAAGACACACAATGGGCTATCTACGCTGAGCCCACCACTGGTATCGAAACCAAAATATTATGAGTAATATTATTATTTTAAACTACAGTCATTATGAACACAAGTTATAAAGGCTTAACTAAGTAAGCCAGATGCTTATCATTTTAAAATGAAATAATTTAGTATAATATTTTAAGAAAATGAAGTTAGTTACTTTGCTTAAAGATATTCGGACCTCATGCTGTTGTTACATTTTGTCGTCTTCCCAGAAATTAATATCTTAACAGTTAATGAACAACCTACTATTTACTGTCTAGTCGACATTATAGGAACAAGGAAAACAAAAGTAAGCCTAATTTAGTATAATATTGCACACACTGAGTAAATTGAGCCATGTTGTTTATTGTTTTTTTCAAAATAACTCGAAGCTAGTTAGAATATTTACTTCCCACTGGACCACATGTGTGTTTGTTGTGGGGGGGGGGTATAAATATTAAGAGGAATATTGATTATCGGATAAATAAGTTTAAAAAATCCAAGAGTTTAGCTTTCAATTGTCTTTACTGTCCAGCGCCCTCTCTCACTATGTATGTCTTTGATTTTTCCTTTAATTAAAATGGATATTGGGCAATTAACAAACTCAAAATTTGTCCGAAATGTCAACACAAACATTGCTACTATACAGAAGAGACAGTTGTAGCCCAGTAGTGATTTTGCTAGGCCTGTGAACCTGAGGATCCACATTTTGCTTACTGTTGCCCCCAAAACCTCACTGCGCACTTTGGAATGCTATAAGTTTGGCAGCAAATTCCTCGGCGCTATTTGGTGAAACAAGAGAAACCAAAGTGTTGATAATGGGTGCTGTTGACAACCTTCCTTTTCTCTTGTTATTTTCTGTTGAAAATTAGGGCTAGTTATCAGCAGCTGGCCCTTGAGTTGCATTGCGTTTAAACTGCCTCATGAAACAAATTTTAACATTGGTAGCATCTGAAAATTACAATGTAATGAACAAATATTTTATGTATATGAATTTGAATAATATTTTAAAGGGACTGTTTCAACATTGGTCTCTAATATTAGTTATATAATAAAACGTTAAAAGAAAAAAATCACTTTACTTCAAAGAAAATTTAAAGCTACAAAAAGGACTATTTGCATTGTGTTCGTCGAAATCCCGAAATTTTTAACGTGATAAGCTCTGAAGCTACTGGGGGGACTATTCAAAAGAATGTAAACAGTTTACTGTAACTTGAAAGTTTAGCAACGAATAATAAAATTAATAAGATATAATCAAGTTAAGTATGTCGTTCAAGTCTGTAAGCTTCCTAAAACATGTAACATTTACTATCATTACTCGTTAGTAAAGAGTGTCTCTCAAGAGTTCTCAGTGGTTTCTGCTACTTGGTTGCCTTCCCTTTAGTCAGCATTTCAAAATTAAGGACAAAGGCAGATATACTTATTAGCTTTTCCATAAACAACGCAAACAAATAAAACTTTCTAAACACTTTAAACGAAGGTTGTAAAAATTTAATTAACCAACAAGTTTCAAACGTATAACATAAATGCACTGGTCATCAAAAATGCATTATGTAATTAACGTGTGTTATAAAAATATTATTAACAACATAACGTAGAATTCAGCATTGTAATTTTAATTACCGCTTTTAGTACATGCAACATGCCTGGTCTCAAAAATTGCCGAAGCTGTAATGACGACTTAACGATCGTTGTTGCTATAAAAAAATCTTATTAACGTTCCTCAAAATCCCTTTACGCCTTACTTTGATTGGGTTCTTTATAGAAATATAGTTTATTGCATCACCTCCAGTATTGAGCTGGTAAACATAATTAATCTAATTTTAATGGGATTTTTCAAATAATCATTAGGAGAATTAGAAAATACAGAACACTGTCTTATTCTCTAGCTTGTTAAATTTAAAAAATAAATAAATTAGACGAAAATTAATATTAATATTTGCCACATTGTTCACGTGAGCCACGTTTTCCGTACGTTATTATAAATTATGTATAACTTCTTTTTATTACTATTATTAGAAGTGCTAAAAAACGTGCTCGTATAAGAGAGGCACGGAGCAGACAGGATATCGTATATTTAGTTTATTAGCAGAAGGTTATAATGTTGATAAAGTGTGTTTGAGTTTCAACCTTTTCAATGTGTTGTTTTTAGTTATGTTGATATTTTTGCGGATCATAGACACAGTAACTTTCGCCATCACTCTTGTAACTAAAAATGTAAATGCGGTTATACCTTTATACTTTTTGCTACTATATCGATTTATTTTATATAATTAACAAAAGTAAATCGTAAAGATGTTGTTGTTTGAAAATAGGGTAAAACTTTTACTGTTTCTTCTACAATATCTTTTTATTTTATATCCTTAACCGTTTGTAAAGAGGATAGACGACTATTGTTTCTTGTCCTATAATCTTTTTGTTTTGTGTTTAACTAGAAGTTTATCATACCGTTGTTTGGAAACAAGATAAACCTTTATTGTTCTCCTGCTATATGTTTTTGTTTTATATTTAACTAGAAGGTAAACATACTGTTGCGTATCTGCTTGTTTGTTAATTTCCGGTTTAAATTCTTTCCGAGGAACTTCAGCAATATAAGATCCTTTCTTGATTAAAACTAGTTTATTCTTTCTCCATACAACTTTGTAATACTTAGAATTTCCACCGTTACTTTAAACTTAATAACGTTTATAACACACGCTATAAAGCACAATGGTTCACACACACTTTACTTACGGTGCCTACTGTTAACTTGACTCAATTATCTCAATCTTCAATCTATATCTGCATATCTATCTATCGCTGGCTTATACACTAAAAAAGACGTCGTCTAGCAAACACTGGGATATTCACGATCCTTCGAGAAACTGCAGCGCGCATGCTCACAGCGTCGCGAGACTTCCGCTGTCGTAACACTGCCCATTCCTTAGTATTGCTCGTCCCGAACAATAGCCTCTTACATTAAACCAATAGATAATTGACAATAATTTGATTAAATTTAGAGAATTTACAAACACAAAATTAAAATTCAACAAAGTCTCTTAATTTTACCGGACGTATCTTCTTCCGTACTGGTCTCTGTCTCATTGGCTTCTGCTTCACGTGGGGTTCATCTGCTCCATCAGGAAATGTACCATTATCGGTAGCACTCACATCAGTGGTAGTAACTTCATTAACGACTTCACTGTTTTCCTTCTCAAAACTGAGTAGAGTTTCTTCTTCAACATTGGCTTTTTCAGGCGACACGTCTTCAACAGCATTATTTGTTCCATTGCTCACTTCGTTCCAACTGAAATGTCCTTGACTGTAATAATGCTAAAGCCTGTTGGCATGAACCACCTTTGGCTTACCTCGCCGACCACATTTTATTCGGAAAGTCACGTCTGAGAGACGATCTATTATGTCATATGGACCTTCACATGGAGAAGACAACTGAGGAGAATTCCCTTTGGTCTTCCTGGGATTAAATAACCACACCTTGTCTC